TATCATCTATCTACCTATCATCTATCATCTCTCTACCTATCATCTATCTATCATCTATCTATCTATCTATCTATCTATCTATCATCTATCTATTAATCATCTAGTGGGGATTTATTAGATTGACTTACAGGATAGGGTCATGGTAGTCCAACAATGGCTGTTTCTGTCTGGAGCGGCTGAGACTCTTGTAATTGTTCAGTCCATGAGGCTGGTTATCTCAGCAGTTCCCATCTGGTGCTGAAGTCTAGGAGGATTCCTGGGGAGCTTCTGGTCTTCAGTCTGCATTAGAATCATGAAGAAGTTGGTACTAGTATTGGTGAAGTAATGCACAGCAGGAAGATAAATAAACTCACCATTGAGAGGAAGGCAAGCAGGCGAAGAGCTAAAGCCCCTTTCTGCCACCAGAGGATGCCACCCAAATTTGGGGTGGGTCAAGGCTTCAGATACTCTTACCACAGAAGTCCCTCATGTTTTAGTTGATTCCACATTCAGCCAAGTTGATAACCATGATTAGCCATCAAAGTACACAACAGCGTTTATTTATCGAAGCTCATAGTCTGTATTGCTAAATCAGTTTCAGTTAAAATTTTTTAGAATGTAATTCATGACACTTTAAAATATATGCATATTTCCACATTTTGCTAAAATCTACTCATCTTTCAAAAAGCATAAACCCAATGAAGCAAATCTTTTATGCTAGTTAATTTAAAAAATTATTTGCAGGGGCCAGAGAAATGGCACAATGTTTAAGAGGGCAACCTACCACCCACAAGGCCACACACCACCCACATGGCAGCTAACAATCATCCATATTTCCATTTCCAGGAGCACTGAAGCCCTCTTATGGCCATTGCATTCATATGGTGCATTTATATTCTGGCAAAACTTCATTCAAATAAAAATAGAAATAAATAAATAAAAATAATTTTTAATACATAAACGTATATTGTGTTAAAAAGTGATTGTATATTTCCTCTGAATAATCTTTTTCCATTGTATTTTCCTGGAGGCCTTTTGTTATATTATTTTACTTAATTTGTATGTGAATTTTATTCCTTCCTGTGTTAAGGAAGGAACCAATGGCACTGCCCATGCTGAACTACCACACAACAGTGAGTTACAGCCCCAGCCTGTTATAAGAGCCTTGAGCCCACATGCTTGTGTATCAATTTAAAGTACTTCATTTGTGAGTGCTTAAGAGCCCTGGCTGCTCCTCTGGAGGACCTGGGTTGGGAATCCCAGGACCCACACTGTGC